CCCAGACGCTGCTCCGCTCCGCCCTCTCCGCGTGCCACCCAACAACTGCGCATGCTCCGCCGGGCTCTGCGCACGCAGGCTGCCCTGGACGCACGCGCGGGTAAGCGTGGTCTACTCGGCCGTGGAGCCGCACGTTCGAGTCCCGGCGCAGGAGGGACTCAGCCTGGGTCCCCGTGAGAGGCAAGGGTGCTCCCAACGCCAGGGCCAGGACTCACATTCTGGCTGCAAAACTAGGTTCCAGAGGCCCCAGGGCAGAGTTAACTTAGAACAAGGCGCTAGGAGCACTGTGCCCCCTAAGCACTCCTGGGCCAATTTCCTCAGCCCCACACACGTTCTGGTCTGCAGCCCTGCTCCACCCCAGAGCCAGCTGCATGCTCTCCGGGTGCAAAGCGAGGTCACGCTGGAAGTGGGCAGGAGGAAAGCAGCACAGAGCCATCTGCTCAGGAGAGGAGTGGGCTGTGAGCCTGTTGTTTTATACTGAGCCATGTCTGAGCAGGGGGGGAAGAGAGGGCAAAGGGAAAGGCAGATAAGGGGAGAGAGGCACAAGCACTTGCTGCAATGCCATAGTGACAGTCAAAAGTCCTTAACTACCCAAACCAGGCTCCTAAAATCATCTGTGAAAAGCTTTGCCTAGTGCTCCAGGTGCTAGGGCAGCTGCCTTCAGGATTCTCTACCTTTGTGAGCCTAGAAATGATTTTAACAACTGCTGAGTTCTTCCCTCCCTGCTGTGATGTGGCTCCAAGCATGGGAGCACTGGGAAATACCCCAAGTTGCAGCATGGACTTGGGATAAAAATCTTGTAAGGTTGGCACACACCCAGCAAAAGCCAACCCCAAATGCCCTGTGGAAATCTCCAGAGCCTCCAGGTGGCCTCCAACCGCAGGAGGTGTGCTAAGCAGCTGGGCTTCACCTCTTCCTTAGCTCCCTGAATGGCTAGGTAAAGTGAAGAGCTTTAAGAGCTTCACCCCTCCCAAAGGCTCTGTCCTTTGCCCCAGCATTTACAGTGCAAGGAAACAGGGTCCACCGAAGCCCCATGTGAGTAGGGGAGAGGTAGAATCGCTGCTGTGGCTTGGGAACAACAGCCAGAGGTACTAGGAAGGGCAGTGGTTTCCACTATTAAGAGGGCTCACAATTAGGTTCAATGGCTCTTAGCCCCACTGCGTGCAGGAGAGGTGCCTGTTGGAAGGTCTAGGTGGACCATACCATCTTGTAAAGCAGGGGTGGGCAATCATTTTTGATCAAGGGCCACTTCAGAAACTTTTGAAGTGTCTCTGGGCTGCCCGCAGGGGCAGGGGCAGGCTGCTTCAGTGCTTCCCCACCCACAGGCCTTGATTGGTCCGGGTGGGGGAGCATGCAAAGTCTTTGTCCCTGCCAGAGAGAACCACCAGCTGTTCTGAGCAGTGGGCAGCTCTCTCTAAGTGCTCGTGCCCCCAAGTCAGTTAGGGCCTGGGGTAGGCAGAGCACACAAGTCTCTTACTCCCTGCCCCCACCCTGCAAGGGAGTGGGGTGCTTCAAGTCACCCATCAGCTGTGCAACATCCGGTGATTGACTAAGTGCCCTGCCCCTTGCAGGGTGGCAGCAGATTCCGCCCTTGCCCTGATTGGTCTGAAGGTGGAGGTGGGGAAGCACGAAGCCTCTTGCTCCCTCTGGAGTGCGGTGCTTAGAATAAGCGGTGCCCACTCCCCCCTCCCTAGGCCCCGATTGACCTGGGGGCAGGGGAGTTGCAGGATGTCTATGGGCCGGATCCGGCCTGCAGAGGCCCTTTTGTAAAGTAAGCAGAGTCCTCGAGCGGTCAGGCACGAAGTGGTGGCAGAAATGAAATGGGCTGAGGGTGAAAGCACCTTGCCAAGAGCAGGTCTCTGCAAATCGCACCAAGGTGGAAGGCAAGAACACAGCACAGCAGCCTCTGCTCCGCCAATAGCACCAGGGTTTCCTGTGCTCCCCCCCAGCTGGTCTGGCAACTTACAGGGGGACTGACAGCTCTTTGGGGCCAAGAGCAGCTCTGTCCCGGGCCCAGCAGGCTACACCATAATTCCTTGCAGTGGGATGTTGAGGAAGCTGTGATGCAAATGGGAACAAGTACAGCTGGCACAGGGCCCCACCGCACCCCTCCTACTTGCAGCCTGCCCTAGTTAAGTGATGTGATTTTTTTTTCCCCTCTTCCTTCCCCCGCTTAAGGTTCCCCCTCCCCTGGTCAGACAAAGCTTTGGCACTTTCCCTTTTACTGCAGCAGGGCTGCAAGGAGAGGGTGTGGAGCTCTGCAACTGGCAAGTCCCTGCAGCATTTCCACAGCTGCCCCGTAAGCATTAAATCTTTGCTTTTCATATGCTGGTGCCGGTACCATTTACTCCCCGTACTCCTGACTCTCCTACCGTGAGGAAAACAAGCCAAGGCGGTATTTGTTTAGCTCCAGTGGAAGCCAGCTTGCAAGTCTTGTTCTAATTTACTTTCCCTAACTGGGTTTCAACACACAGGGAGATTCTGCCTTCTGGTTATGTGAGCAACATATGGTCCTATTTAGCCCTGAGTCTTCCACAGCCATTTTACTTCCCTGCTGGAAGTTAAAGCCAGCTGTACAACTGCCACAATATTTGTTCCTTAGATTTTACTAGGAGACTTATCCAGCATTACTTAGATCCTTCAAGGCAGGGGGGTGCAGGAGCAGGGGGTGTGATGGGCCTAGGAATCAGCTCAGAGGGTTGGAAGGTGTAGGGCATGCAGGATTCAGGCAGGGGCTGTGCTCCCAGGCTGGCAGCTGCTGCTCCCCTGTGGTCATTTTGCAGTATAAAATGGTCTCTACTCTCAACCCTCTGTCTGGTTGAGAAGCAATCGGATTCCAGGCACAACCCACTGTCCTGGCACAACCAAGCCCTGACAGCAAGGTATGCTAAGAGGAAGCTGAATACCACATGTGGCCATCCTAGCTCTTAGGCTGTGTCTAGACTGGCCAGTTTTTCCAGAAAATCAGCCGCTTTTCCGGAAAAACTTGCCAGCTGTCTACACTGGCCCCTTGAATTTCCGCAAAAGCACTGACTTCCTACTGTAAGAAATCAGTGCTTCTTGCGGAAATACTATTCAGCTCCCATTCAGGCAAAAGTCCCTTTTGCACAAAAGGGCCGGTGTAGACAGCTCAGATTTGTTTTCCGCAAAAAAAGCCCCAATCGCGAAAATGGCGATCAGGGCTTTTTTGTGGAAAAGTGTCCGTGCCAATCTAGACGCTCTGTTCCGAAAATGCTTTTAACGGAAAACTTTTCAGTTAAAAGCATTTCCGGAAAATCATGCCAGTCTAGATGCAGCCTTACTGTTTAAGAGCTCTTGAAGAAACTGATGTAGACAGACTCACTCTACAGCAGATCTTTTAAATGTTTTGAGGGGCTTCTGAAATAAGTGGACCTTGCTAGAAACAAACATGTTTCAAAGAATGTTCTAGCTTAATAGATTTAGCACCAGCTGCCCCATCTTCTAAAATCCTCATGATTTCATGACAGTGAGATGCATTTTTAAGAAATGTGAAGAGATGGGGAGCTGCTTCCCCCCACCCCCAACAGGGAGGGGGTAAGGAGACTGGGTTATTCTGCAGAAAAGAGCCTCTGGCACTGTGCATTAGGTAGTTGCACACTTTCCCCAGGCTAGTGGGGCTTTCTTTTTTGCAGCAGGCTTGAGAAGTATTCCCGAGGGAGCTGGACTCTGGCCCCTTGGGTGCCTATCAGCTATCTGAACAGGTTTTGCAAGAGTGGCGGGTGCGGGTAGGTCTTGCCTTAAAGCAAGACCAATTCCTTTATCTTCTGAAAAGTGACAGGCTTGATAAGATCAGCTCAAGGGTACACGGACAGGGTGGGCTTTTGAGCAGGGGACTAGCTTAAGCCTGCGGACAGTCCAGTCCTTGGAAAGAGGGAGGGTCTGTGGAGCACTGTAGCAACAGCTTGCCGTCAGCTCTCCAGAAGGGTGAATGCAGTGCTCTCATTCCCCTCCTCCCGACTCCACGGGGTGGAGACTACAGCCGTTTCTGTGCTTGGGGGAAGAAACTGACACTAGGACCGAGGCAGCCAGCACCAGTTCCAAGATACCTTTGGTGAGGCCTGTTGAGGTGCCCTGCCCTGTAGCTGCAGTAAAGGTCCATATAGCAAGGACAGAGGCATCTGACAGGACCAGCTGGGGCCCGGCTAGTGCTTCAAATCAATCAGGGGCCACCCTTGAGAAGCAAAATGAAGAATTAAACTCCCACGCCCCATGGTGCTCCCCGCAACCATGGAACCCAAGGCTCAGAGCTCCCTCATGCAGCGAGGGGGGAGGGGTGTTAGCACTAGGCTCCCAAGAGTTAATAGATGTGGAGCCAATGAGGAGGGGCTCAGTGTGCAGGCTGCCAGGGCATGGGGGTCTGAGCAGAAGCATGGTAGGAGGGGTGCTTACCTGGCCTAGCTCCCCAGGGCCCTGTGCTTGGAGGCATTGGGCTCCCTGCTGCTCCCATTGGCTGTGATGGGTTGGAGCCTGCAAGCAAGTGCTGTGCTGCCCAGCTGGGGAAGGAAGAACAGCAGAGCCCCTCCCTACCCATCTTCCACAGCAGAGACCCACTGCTGGTGTTCCAGCACCATGAGGGGGCCACAAGGCTGGGGGGGGGGGTACAGTACAGGCGCAAAGGGGAAGGAACTCAACTCAGCTAGGCCTGATCATGGCAAGCTGGGGCTGGATAAAGCCCAAGGTTCCCCATCTCTACACTAGACAGTCACCTGCTTGACCTGGAAACGCTAGTGCCAGCAAGTGAATGGCTTCCCTATGTCCAAGTGCCCTCCCCCAGCCGCAGCATACAGAGCATCGGGCAGGCTAGGCTAAGGAGGCAGCAGGGCCATGATATGGGACAGGGGCCCCATGTGGTGGGTGGGAGATGAACTGGTGACTGACTCCTACAGACCACCATCCTTAGACATGGAGGCAGCTGGGGTGTACAGCTGCTTCATTTTAATCAAAGCCCATTATGTCTAGAAACAGCATGGCGGGAATGGTTCTTTTATTTCAAAAGACAATAGAAGACAGTTGTCAATTTTTGTATCAAAACACCTGATATGGGAATTCCTCCAGCTGGCCCCTACAACCACCATGCCTCTCCGCAACACAATGCAAATCACCCAGCACACTGTGCCACCGCGCTGCACAGGGGCTGGGACCTGCTGCAAGACAAGAGCGCGCTCCTGGGGCAGGCGGCTGGCAGCATCCCCTCAGTGTAAGCAAAGCTCTGCATGCACAGGGCACTTTTACACAAGCTGTTACAACCAGCCACAAGTGATAAAGCTCTGTGCAGTAGCACTTAGTGAAGGCAGACATGCCCCCAGGGGCAGCCGGGGGGAGGGGGGCAGGCTGTCGGCATCCTGTGGCCCGAGGGGAGAACAAGTGGCACGCAGGAGGACAAGACGCCTGACTAATTCTGCCATTCACGAGTCTTCTCTGAAGAGGTTTGGTCTTAGAGAAAGCAAGCCAGCCTGCTCTGTGCGCCAAGGCTCTGCAATGCAAGGAGAGCAACCTCACAGCTGAGACTGAATGCCTTTTTCGGGGGCAGGTGCTCCTGCCAGAGACCTAGATCAGACAGGGCAGCGTGAGGGCCCTGCAGAAGAGATCGTGGCAAGAGCTTGCACGCCCAGCCTGGCTACTCTAACTCAGCAGCCAGAGCTAGCACCATCCCCCCACTGCTGCTTCCCCCCCAGCGCCGGCAAAGGGAGCAGCGCTGATGAGCAGGAGAGGTTAATCTCAAATTTGAAGAGCCAACAGCTCACGGTGCAGCTTGTGAGCCCGTTATTTGGAATGTTTACAATTGCTACAAAAGATCGTTACAAAACGTGTACATCTCACACCTTCGCCAGACATTACTGCATTGGTTGCATTTCCCTTATGATGCTGTTTAAGCTCTGCCCAACCAGATGACCTTTAACCCTCAGGAGGCTTGGCAGAAGTTGGCTTGGTTGGCCTGGCAAGAGAAGGACCCGTGGGGTTAGAGGGCAGCGTTGGCTGGGCTGGCCCCCAGCAAACCGCTGTGTGGGGCAGAGGCAATGGCAGGGTCTTTACATGTCGTTCAGGTCAAGCAGGGTCTGGTCCAGCATTCTTTGCGTGCAGAGATGCTCCTCTTTGGTGGATTTCAGTTTATCTAGTGGGAGGAAGAGTCACAGTTACCAGTCACGTAATGCCCATCTCAGCCAGGACAGTGCCTCAGTTTCCCAGCACTGCTCTGGTGAGCGCATTTGGCCGGGGAGGCAGGGCCACTTGCAGCCGCAAGCAGGGGAGTTGCCTGCCTTGTTCCTGACCTCTACTAGTGCTGCTGCTTCCACAGAAGGCAGGCTCCCCATGGACCCCCAGCTACTGCCCCCCGCAGTCTGCATGCAGATGTCAGACTCAAGCCAGCCTCTCCCAGCACCCAGCGCATCAACATTTGCCTGTCTCCAGATTCAAAAGCCAAAGCGCAGCTTTGCCTGCCCCAGCATGACCTGCTCCTTCGAGGCAGAGGAGAGTCCCCCTGCAGGGGGCGCCCCACAGCCCATGCTGAGGTGGGTCAGAAAGGTCTTGCCAGCCACCCTGGCTCCTAGCAAGCCTGTCTACAAGCCACTGCCTCTTGCCCACAGCAATCCTGTTCTAGGACAGCAGGCGGCAGAGCAGGGGATGCGGGTCAGCCTGCATCTCTGAAGCCAGGAAAGAGTCCACAGCCCAGGGGTTTTCCAGCTAGGTACTGCGGCCCAGCGCTGGGTGGGGACACGTCAGGCACTGGGGCTCAGGTGAGCAGCTTCTCCCCCGTCCTGGCACTGCAGACTGTGCTGTGCCCCAGAAACAGCTGGCAGCAGGCCCAGGTCCTGTGTGGAGAGCACAAGGCTCCACGCACTGCCCCCGCCCCATGCTCCCTGCAGCTGGGAGCCTGCCACTGGCTGCTTCTAGGGTGCCAGGACAGGTGGGTCACTGCACCGCTAACCTGGAGCCCCTCCTGCCCCCAAAGCCAGAGCCCCCTCCTGCAGCCTGAAGCCCCACCCGGGGAGCCCACATTAAGCTGGGTCACAGCATCCAGTTTCATCCACCGGGTTGTCAGGGAAGTTGGAGAACCACTGCTCTATCCCACAGCGGACCTGGAGTAAGACGGGGAAGAATGGCCCGGACATACTAGCACGCAGGAGCACTGCACATGCTTTCAAGCTGTTTGCTATTTGCAGAGCCTGGCTCCCGCTGCCAGCTCCACTCCCCCAT